CTTATCCTGTCTCTGGGCATTCTGTTTGTGGCCACTGTGGGAAAAAACTGCTGAACTAAACAGGTCTTCAGCTTAGTCTTTCATAGTTCTTCTTGTACTCATGTTCTCTTCTGACTGTATCTACCAGTATGTTTATTAGAAATATCTTCCACCATTTGCAGGAACCTGCTTAATAAAATTATAGTAGGAGCACAAGATACTGTGATTCAGAGCCTCTGAGATAGATAGTAGAAAGCCAGCCATTAACAGAAAACAAGTTTAATGATATTTAAATGAATAGTTTTTGATAGTAGATTATAAGTAAAGTGATAGGTAACCTTTAGGAGTTGGGAGAACAGTTGGAATTTTGAGAGTATGTGGTGAATGAATTCACAAAATGAGTATGACTGGAGCCTTGTCTATTCACAACATGACTGTCATAGTGGCATGGCAAATAACAAAACCCATTTATCATCTTAGTGGACCCCAAAAGTATTGCTGCAAAGACACAAACATTTTCTCCTCCTTTTCCTCCAAGCCATTAATAAAATTATTGAAGAGTACAGAACCAGGACCTGATCCTTGTGCTGTCCAACTTGGTATCTCTCTTCAGTCTGATGAGGAACCACTGATAGGCATTCTTAGAATGTGATTTTTCAGCCAGTTTTGAATCCATTTAATTGTCATGCCATCCAGCATCCACTTAACTAGGTTGCTAATTAACATGGCATGGAGTACTGTGTTAAATGTGTTGTTGAAATCTTAATACAGTCTAAGAAGAAAGTCATAAAATGAGATAAGGTTAGTCTGGCAATACTTGTTTTTGACAAATCATTGCTGAGTTTGTGATAATTAGTACATTGTTTTCAAGATTGGTGTCTTTATAATCTGCAATTTTTTCCAAGTATTGTGTCAAACTGCCTGGTCTGTAATTTGCCCCTTTTTGAAGACAGAAATGTATGCTTTCCTCCGTTTTTATTTGGTCAATTTATAAGCCACCTCAATTATCCAAATGACTCCAGGCAGTGTAGAATGTATTAAAACAATAACGCACATTTATTTATTCATTTATTTTTCTGCCTTTGAGTCAGTGTTGACTCCTGGCAATTCCCTGGACAAGTCTCTGCAGTTTTCTTGGCAGGATTTCAGAAGTGGTTTGCCATTGCCTCCTTCCTAGGGCTGAGAGAGAGGGACTGGCCCAAGGTCCCCCAGTGATTTTGTGCCTAAGGCAAGACTAGAACTCACGGTCTCCCAGTTTCCAGCCTGGTGCCTTAACCATTACACCAAACTGGCCCATTTAGAAATAGAAATAAAAATACAAATAGAAAACAGTAATAAATTCTGTGTGTGTGTGTGTGTTTACATTTCTATTTGTGTGTGTGTGTTAATAAAAAATGAATGAAACACCAGAATGAAACACCAAGGTATAAAAGCTCAATATCATCAGCGTAGGGCAGTGTTTTCCAACCTCAACAAATTTAACATGCTGGCTGGGGAATTCTGGGAGTTGAAGTCCTCATGTCTTAAAGTTGCTAAAGTTGAGAGACACTGGTGTGGGAGTTTCTGTAGAGTATTATAAAAAAAAAGTCAGGATAACAGCCATGATTCTATGATTGAAACTGCATGTTTTTTATGTGTGCCACATACAAAAAACAGATGGAACTTTGAGCACACCATTGTGGTCACCATCTTGACTTTTTTTTTTACCATATCCTGTGGACATCCCTGGTGTAAGGCCACAAAGCACCATGCACCAGGATCTGTTGAAAAAGCAACATTTAAAGGGGTTTCTTAAACAACTAGGGGGGTCAGCACCATGTGGAATTTGGGGGAGGGAATGCTGTTTCACAAGGCAGCTGCGGCCGCAGAAAAAGCATGTATCAAGGTCCCACAAATTTTAATGATGGGATCTGGAGCATGCCCATTTCACTAAATGGTGAAACATAACAAGAGAGGGATGGTCCTGCACATAACCAAGCCCTGTGCCATGATGGGTTGTATATGATGACCAGCATTTGAATTCCATCCAGAAACTGAAGTTATCAGGGACTTTTCTAGGATTTCTCAAAGACGATACATAAGGATGGAGCCAGACTATTAGCTAGTAGAATATATTTAACCTAGCTCTGGAGATTTAAACACATTCAGAGTAAAGAGGTCTTAAGCTTCAATCTGGCTCCTTCATCCTGCTCTTCACAGTTTTTGCTAGAAGAAACTAAACCACAGGAGGAGTTGAATAGCTTTCCCTTTTGTTTCCTGTTAGCTCTTCGCCATCTTCATTGAGCAGCTGGTATACTGCTTCTTTTTCTTCTGGACTGAACTTATCTAAAGAAGCCCTTATCATCCTTTGCTAACTTCAGTCTGAGATTTTGTTTCCAGTCATCATCTCTACAATTCTGGGCCATCTGTCTGTACTCTTCCTTTGTAACTTGGTCCTCTTTTCATTTTCTGTATGCGTCCTTTTTTTGATTTTCATCTCTTCCCTAAGCCTTTTGTGTGGCCATGCTGGTGTCTTTTTTTCTTCTCCATTTTTTTCCTCACTGGAATTGTTTGGAATTTCATTTTTGGTATTTCCTGTAGGAACTCATACCAGTCCTGAGCTGCTTTTCTGATTAGGTGCGTCTGCTATGGCACCCTACTTATCATTACTTTAGGTTTATTATAATCGCCTTCTTTGAAGTTTGACTAGACTCTTTTTCTTAAAATCTGGTTCTCCAACATCATCACTTCTCCACTAATGTTCCTATTTCCACTTCTTCAGTCAAGTGTTCCCTCTATTTAATTGTATTAATTTAAAGAATATTTAAAAACAGGTGGGCAAAAAATGCATGGGAAAACACAAGTTGTGAGTATGTACTTTTTGTATAAAGTGCAAACTCTCCCTTTCACTCCCATATTATGTAAGATGTTTGTTTCAGTTTATATCATTTGTTTCAGGTCAGATACAAGGCTAGATCTTGATTTACTCCTGCAAATTTATATTATCACAGTGATTTATTTTGAAGACAACCAGAATTTTTGCCCTCAGTAGCTTTCCCAGAAATAGACTGCAATACACTGGGGTTTTTTTTTTCCCATTTGAAAAACCACACAATCACTGGCAATTGAGAATAAGCTGTAATTTAATTATGTTTTAAGAGCTTGTAAAAATTGCATTTTCAGAATCTATTTCTAGTTACTCTTTGGAATTAATATATTTGACAGTTTGTTGAATTGGATAACCGCTGTTATCACAATTTTAAAAAATGCATATATAAAGATCAATCAAACTTCCGTTTTGGAGAATAAGAAACAGTAAGCCAAAGAAATTAAGGCATGAAATAATAAAAAGAAAAGGAAATATACTTTACCCAACCATTTATTCTCCATATTTTTCTATCCTTACAGATTTCCTTGAAATATGTTCATATACTGCTTCATATATTGCCTTTATCCTTTAAATATCTTAACTCTCTTTGTTTTAGGGCCTGATCAATTCCATTTAACTGTGACTGTCTCCTTCTTCCTCTCAATCTATGCACCCTTCATATATTTGTTTCATGAGACGATCCTCATTCATTCTCTTTGTATGACCAAATCACCTCAACATTCTTGTTTTGCCCTGGTCTCTCACTTTTGTATTTAGTTCACATTCATTTAGTACCCGTTCATTCATGATCCTATCTTGTTTTGTTTCACTGCACTTCTCAAATAACTTATTCCCACTGCATTCAACTTAACATTTGTTTCTCTTAACTCTCACTTTCATATAACAAAATAAGAAGCACAATCTTACATTGCCATTTCTGCTTCTTTTGATTCAACATTTAGTCTTTGCACATTCTATCCGATACCTTTCTACCAGTCTTTGCACATTTTAAAATTTATCCATCTATTTTTCCCTCTTTGGAAAATATGTGTTCTCTCTCCTTTTTTTTTTTTTTTTTTGCCATTTATACATAATTTTCAGTCATTCACGCAATTTTTCTAGTCAACTGGAACTACTTTGGTCTTGATACATTAACTTTTAGATCCATATTCCTTGTTCCCTTATTGCATCATACATTCTATTTGATACTTGCTGCAATCATTTAGGTTCTCCACCAAGAACATAGCATTGTCTTAATACAAAAGTACAGGCATGTTCACATCCTCAACCAGCACACCTCTAATGTCACAAGCACATCTTAAGATACTAACATCATGAAATAAAGATATGTGCACACATTTCTGTGTTCTACCTACGTTTTGTAGAAGCAGGAAAAATTGCTGGGATGTTGTAGATAGTTATATTGTGCTGAGCAATGCTATTCGAGAGGAAAGCATGCATTTGTGTCACTGTTCTTTTGTGTCATTGTTCTCATCGTTTGTGGTTTTAGGTTTATTGGGTACTGCTTTGGAAAGGTTTGGTCTGGAGACTAAGAACTTCCTGTTTGCCATTATAATTAAATCATAGCAGTCATGAGATACTTTCATGTCGTGCATACACTGATGTTAATAACAAAAAAAGATGATATTATCAAAATCCAAATTGTACTCCAGAATAAAAAAAAACTTCAGTATTATACAAACAGATCCTCAGTACCTAGTTCTATGAAATAAACCCTAAATATTACTCATATATCCAAAAGCTGTAAAATAATTTACTTTAAAATTTATAAACGTTAATTAAATTTATGATACATGATAAATGTACAGGTAGTCCCTGAGTTAAGAATGCCTGGTTTAAGGATGACCCATAGTTAAGAACGGAGCCTATTATAACAAAATTCGAGTTAAGTACACAATGATTTGAGTTGAATGCACAATGGTTCAATTAATTACACAATACTACTTATACAACATTATACAATAATATGTTCCAGCTTACATGCAAATTCTACTTAAGGACAGATCTTGGGAATGGAACTTGTTCTTAAACTGGGGACTACCCATATAAGCAATTTTAATACTACAGGTTTGTTTATTAAATACAAAATACCATTGTTGTTTCTTTAAATCATATTTAATTATTTAAAATAAATTATCCTTAAAAAGCAGCTTATAAATCTGTTGAGTTATATAGAAAAGAGGGAGGTATTGCAGCCTATATTTCAATCATCCACTTTTCTGTAATGTGTAATTTCCAGATATTTTGGATTTCTACACACACTTGATCTGAACGAAAAGCCCAAGAAGCAATTTCTATAACCTCAACTATTGACCATGTTGGGTGAGGTTGATTGCACTTAGAGTCCTAAGCTTCAGGAAGATATGTTTCTTTATTCAAATCCAATCTTCATTGTATGTTTTCAGGTCATTACATTTCTGTGGATACCTCACAAGGAACAAGTGGTGACACAGCTATACTGCTCAGCCCTGAACTGTATACAGGAGAGTGGAGCTGTATTCGACTTATATATCAGATTGCAACAGCTTCAGAATTGCCACTAGGTTCTATTGCCCTAAACCTATATATAAGAGTGGAAGGTGAAAGCTTTGATCATTTGCTTTGGACAAGCACAGAACACTCAGAGAGCTGGCTCATAGCCAGTCTAGATGTAAGAAACAGGACAGACAGATTCAAGGTAAGCATTTGAAACAAGTCATTGCATTCATTCCCAGTCATGCAGACTGTATTCAAACTTTTTTGGTCTAGCAATATTTTTGGTCTAGTTACATGTACAACTGTAGATGAGTACAAAGAACTGTAGAACTTTTCATTTATGTTTATCTCTTTTATCATGAAACATAAATATTTGGAATGACTATAGCCTTTTTAGTATTTGTGAGGGGATATTGAACATCCACACATTCACTTGTACATTATATCCAGATGTTCTAATTAATATGTAAATTAGGGTGGAACCTGTTCTTCTTATGGGTTAATTCTACCACAAAACAGAAAAGATCACTGCTCTGTATTTTAGGCTTTTCTTAGCAGAAACAGGAAATTGCAGAAGTCTTTAAAGAAAAAAATAATGGAAAATAGTTTATTCTCTAGAATACAATGTTCATTTCCACTTTGATCTTTCTCCATATAGTTTTGTAAACTGATATGTATACATATCCATCACCCTATTCCCTTTTGAAAACAGCAATGTTATTGAAAGTGGAAAAAAGAAAAAGACAAAAGTAATGAAAAATTAAGATAAGGGAAAAGCAAATATAGCTGATTCAAGTTTGCACCAAATCCACATATTTATACCTTTTAATGCAAATCATCCTTGCTTCCAATGTATCCATATAACACTTCAGTAATACAAATACAGTTTTTAAAAATATTTAAACTTCTCATGTCTTTTTTTGAGTATCTCATTAATTTTGTCCAGTCATTACTTTCTTAATTTTCTCCTTCCTCTCAATTCATTCATGCTGCCTTCATATATTTGTTTTGTGATTTGATCTGCATTCATTCTCTCTATATGACCAAATCATGTCAATTAACTTCTTTTCTATTGGTCACTTTTGTACTCAGTCCACATTCATTCACAGCCATACATTCATGATCCTTACTTCTGTATTACATATCCTTACTTCTGTATAACAAAGTAGGCAGAAGCAAAATTTTACACTGAGTTTTTTGCTTATTTTGACAAACATTCAGTCTTTGCAACAGACCATGTATTATCCACTACTTTTCTACCAGAATTTTAAAGTTTTGCAGTTTTTACTCCTAGCTCAGTGATGATTCATGTACAAAGCATCCCATTTATTCTCATGCATACATTACTTCCATATACTACTCATATATTGTATTCAGAAATCAACCTTCAACTCCTTATTCACTCAAAATCTTCCATAATTCAACCCTGTTCACTTTCTTATGTGAATAAATCAACAAACAATAAAGCCAGCTTCTGATTGAAGATATGGTACACTATGGTGTGAAATGCTTGACACATTTAGTGCACAGAATTATGCAGTGAGCAGGTACTTTTTCTCTCTCAAACTGAACATATATTTAGGGACTTTTTCTACTAACACAGACATTAAGCACTGCTCTGGAAGACTGTTGTTCAAGAGAATACTATATGAAGGATAATAGGAAGTTAACCCAAATCTAGTGATTCATATCCCAATTATTTAAGCTTTTCATTTTCTAAAAAAAGTTATTAAAATCACAGTGCTTAATTTTATTCTACTTTTATGCTTATTTTACAGATTATACTGGAAGGTATATTAGGAACAGAAACAGTTGCCAGTATAGCAATTTTTGAAATCAAAATTTCAACTGGTTACTGCATAGGTAAGTAGCTATTGTAATAACTGCCTATAGGTAGCATGAAAATGTGGTATTTAATTGGGAACCTATTGTCATAAGAATATTAGTTCAGAGCAGTTCAATATAACACTGAAATACTATATTTTATTAACTTAAGTGGTGTATTTGTGAATAACTATAATAAACTAATTATATAATATGCTGCCCAGTTTCCAGATCTTTGGAAATCTTCATTGCTGAGTCAGAACTTAAGACAAAAAGCAGCCATACTACAACAGTTTGAAGAACATGTTGCCTCAGCACTGGCTTGCAGCAATTCACAGATTAAAATGAATTAACATTGGAAATGAGCTTTTAGGTTCTGTAACATCACTTGTACAGCTGTTAATATCTTCTAAATTTAAGACCGTGAGGATTTAGCCAAGAAAAGCCCAGAGTTTGCAGGACATTATTGGTCCTCAGAAAGGTCCAAAGACAAAGCTACATGCTTGGGGTTCAGAAATCAGATATGAAGTCAGGTGTTGAAGAATGTACTTGGGATAATCATAGAAAGCAAGACTATCATCCTGCAACCACTTCTGCTTGACTTACAGATTTAGAGTGATGACATTCCAGCCAAGGACATTCCACTTGTGTTGGATTTTAATACCAATTTCTAGAAGCCATAGTTCTTCTGCAGGGCACCAATTTTGAGAAAGCTAGCATAGAGCCTGGGAATTAATGAAGGTCTAAAAGCATTATATTAGTTGCAGAAGAGCCGAAAGAGAAGCTGAATCTCTAAATATGATGCACTTGCTGATATGATCTGTGAGATGATTGAGGTCCAAAGACAAAGCTACATGCTTGGGGTTCAGAAATCAGATATGAAGTCAGGTGTTGAAGAATGTACTTGGGATAATCACCAATTTCTAGAAGCCATAGTTCTTCTGCAGGGCACCAATTTTGAGAAAGCTAGCATAGAGCCTGGGAATTAATGAAGGTCTAAAAGCATTATATTAGTTGCAGAAGAGCCGAAAGAGAAGCTGAATCTCTAAATATGATGCACTTGCTGATATGATCTGTGAGATGATTGATTTGTGCACCAGGAGGTGTACTTTAATATCTACAGAAGAATTTACTGATCTTTGCTTATGTGGATGAGTACTATTTTAACTGGATGTAATCATTGAAGGTTATGTGTATTTTAATTACTAGTTCTATCTGCAAGATGTATGCATTCTATCATCAGATCATATACTTGTAAATAAGCCTAACGGCTGGCTTGATAGGCACAGAGTTTGTAGGAAAGAAACAGAGTAACATTTGCATTAATAAAAGCTTGCAACTTAACTATCATGAAAGTGTGACCTTCCCTTCCCTGTTCTGCTAATGGCTGGCTCACTGATGATGGTAACACATAGGATAGGACTGAAGCTTATATTATTCTGAAGATTTATTAACATGCACAGTACATTTTAAATAGGACACTGAACTGATTATAATTGAGACATAGAGAGTCATGGGTGCAAAACCATGAATATTTATGTGCTTTGATATTCTTTTCAACTGCAGAATGTGATTTTGAAGAAAATCATCTGTGTGGTTTTATGAACCGCTGGAATCCAAATGTTAATTGGTTTGTTGGTGGAGGAAACATAGGAAATTCACAGTCAGTTCTTCCAAGAGATCATACCTTTAGGAATGAATTTGGTAAGCAAGAAAGGATCATTTATTTTGAAAGAGAGCAGGGAGAGAAGATATCTGTAACTTTTAATTACAAATAAATAATTATTAATTCATTCATTCATTTGCCCGTGCTCCAAATTCTCATTAGAATACAAGAGTACCATTAATGAATGTTTTAAAATTGTGTAATACAGAGTTTTGAAAAATGCATGTTTTAAAAATAGATGGGAGGGAAAACTGCAAACTGAATTTGGTTTTGACATAAATAGAAGTTTTGACATAAATGTAGCATTCTTTGTGTGTGTGTGTGTGTGGGGAGTCTGAAAACACAGAAGTTTAGCATTCCATAACTGTTTTCCCATCTAAAGCACAACCATGTTTTGGTCAAAACAAATTATGACCTATATTTTTGCACTAAGTGTTTTCAGGTCTGCTTTTATATTTCATTCATAGTATTCAGTTTTGAATACATTTATATGGTGTGAATTATCCAGGCATTGTTCCAAGAATAATTTCTGTGTAATTTTCTCAGCTACGCACACATAGAAAATCCAGAGAAAGAAATTAATAAAACTGACTTCATACTAGTTCTTCAACATCCTAATTATTGAACTAGTAAACAATTTTACCTTGTTATCTTAAAGTAACTACATTCTCTAAGCACATTACTCAGAACATTAAATTATTCTTTCAAATCCACTATTTTTATAGAAAAAATGTTTTATAAAATAGTTCAAATGAGCTGAATCACATCTGTTCTGGCATTTGTTGAAATACTATATTCTTAATAAGTAGGATTGTTAGAGAAGTTTCATATCTGGTAATTGACTTAATAAATACATTTGAATGATCTTTTTGAATCCTGTGGAAATCAGAAATACGTTTTTTCTTCTTTTTTAACATACAATTCTCTTCATCCAGTCTAAATGTCAGAGATGTGAGTTTTTCCAAAGCCAAGTTTGATTATGAATTTTTTTGAGTGGCCCTGGCAAATCTTCAATTTAACTGATAAAAAACTTTAAAATAAAATTGTCATCTGCCAGGAGTTGTTCCTTATTTGGTGAGATATGAGATAAATAAATAGCTCTGAGGTCTTGACCCAAACTTTCTTTGAATAACTTTCCAATGCTGAAAGGGAAAAACGTTATTCATGAATTCATTCATTTCCCAGAACTACGTTCAGACACCATTTTGGAGCATTAGAATACCTTCTGGAGAAGATTGAGAGAGCAGAGGTGGCTGCAGGAGAAAAATAGTTAAAAAGCATATTCCCTTACCTTTTTTTTTAATGAGCTTTCAGAGGATGTGAGTTCTTTCCATGAAGGATACATCTAGATCCAGATATGTGATAAAACATGTAATAAAAGAAAGAAATGATAGAATTAATTGTTTCAGTGAAGTAAAAATAAATCTAACTCATTTAGTTTCTTCCTAGAAGTACTAAAACAATACATGTTTTCATCATAGAGTTTTGGGGTACTAAACAAAGATCACAATAGTGATTGAAATACACTGATACAACGTGCATAAAACGTTCCCCAATCTGGTAATATCCGAGGATATTAGACTACAAATAAGTTGGAAAAGCTATCTTAGAATTGTATGAAACATGGAGATGTTCTGATGTAAGAATGTCCCAAACTAGAAACAAATGCTCAGGAAAGGAATGAAAGAAAGCTTTTGAACGACAAAGAAATTATGTTGCTGGTAAAAACTCAGCTTAGTTTTTGTTTTGTTTTTTGTTTTTTTGCAAACTGGATGAGTTGAGTTCTTAACTTTTAAATTAGAGACCTTTTGGAAGATATTAAACCACAAAGTGTTATATTTGTGCACTGGAAAAGTTGAGTGCAACAGATGCATTTGCCTCTAAAAATAGAGCAGATGTGCAATGCAAGGATTAATTTTGCTTATTCAGCAGATATTGCTCATTCCATGTGGTCTTTTGAGTTTGATGAAAAAGGCAGTTCCACCTTATATTAAATTGTTTCAGATTAATGTATTGTCGAAGGCTTTCACGGCCGGAAGACCCACACCAGCCATGTTTCAGATTCCTTTTTTTTTCTGAAAAATTGGAGACGTCAAGACCCAGTGTGTGTACCGTAGGTTTTGGGAACATTTTTAAAACAAGCAAAAACTCTGTACCATCTTAGAATAACTATATTAATAAGAACTGGTAAGAGCCAAGGGAGTGAGGAAGAAGAGGTCAATAAAAAGCTCTACAAATGCATTTATTTACTGTGATGGAATGCTTTGATGAAGGCCGCGCTCAGGGAGATAAGCATTTCCTTAGCCCCCAACAGGAGCGTGGGAAGGTAAGAAGATGAGACTGGCACCACCCTAAGGAATTCACAGTGTTTTGGCTTGCTGGTTTGGGAAGTTTAGATTCAGTCTGGAGAGATCTGGAAGCTAATAAACGCAACAGAACTGTATTTCTACTGTCTCGTGGAGTTCTTTGGGCTGAACCTGACATCAAACTCTCCAGACTGAATCTAAACTTCCGAAACTAGCAAGCCAAAACACTGGAATTCCTTAGGGTGGTGCCAGTCTCATCTTCTTAACCTTCCCATGCTCCTGTTGGGGGCTAAGGAAATGCTTATCTCCCCGAGCACAGCCTTCATCAAACCATTCCATCACATTTACTTCTGCATTACTGGAATTAATTTACTGAGAATAGCTCACAAAATAACATGGAAAAGTCTGATATGGAAATATTCACAGCTTCTGAAATACTTTCAAAGGATCAAATAGACAAACACAACTGATAGATTATAACATGTATAATTATATATCATTAAAACAAGGTCCATTTCCCTGAACTTTTTCCAGTTATCCATTGGAAATAAAGGTTTAATAACTTCTATTCCTAATTTGAGTAGATTCCAATTAGTAATATATTGTACCGTGTTACTTGGTATCTGAACCTATTATGGCTTTGGAACCTTGATATTAAAACCATTTCCTCTTACTCTGGGAATCATACTCATTTACCTCTTAAGTCTCATAGCTATTCACACTAGTACAGTGGAGTTTGATCTCTGAAACAAAGAGAAAAGTATGCTTTACTTCCAGAACTGAAGCCTAGTTCCAGTTCTACAAGCAAACATAACTTTTGATATGAATGAATTGACAAAAGCAAAGTTACACTGTTGCGTTGCAAGTTCTCTCCTTTGGGTGTGCATGTGATACTGTGATTCATCTGGAAAAGGAGAAGGCTTGCATCACAATGCTCCCGGCATCAGTCGGAGCTCCCTAGCACCTCTCTACAGATGCTGGTGCATGAATGTGTTTTTCAGCTTATGTACACTACAGCACACTGAAATGTATTACTGCGTGTACTCATTGTGAAAAAATGACAGGTGTGGCCTTTTTACAGTTATAACAGATGGTATTACTGCGTGTACTCATTGTGAAAAAATGACAGGTGTGGCCTTTTTACAGTTATAACAGATGAAAGGGGACACAAAGTGGTATTGTAATGTACCCCTTAAAACCGGAAGTATATGAAATAACTGAGATTTAAAGGAAGCTTGTTTTGTGATACTGGAAGAACTAGTGGGGGCACCTACAAAACAGATGAAATATTCAACTGCAGGAACA